AAATTTCGAGGCTCGATCGGTTCGAGCTTCGAACTTCGGGGATCGATCGGCTCGAGGCTCGAGGTTTCGACTGCGAGGGTCAGATGTCGAGGCTCGATCGGTTCGAGCTTCGACCTTCGGGGACCGATCGGTTCGAGGCTCGAGGCTTCGACTGCGAGGGTCAAATGTCGAGGCTCGATCGGTTCGAGCTTCGAACTTCGGGGATCGATCGGTTCGAGGCTCGAGGTTCAGACTGCGAGGGTCAGATTTCGAGGCTCGATCGGTTCGAGCTTCGAACTTCGGGGATCGATCGGTTCGAGGCTCGAGGCTTCGACTGCGAGGGTCAGATTTCGAGGCTCGATCGGTTCGAGCTTCGAACTTCGGGGATCGATCGGCTCGAGGCTCGAGGTTCAGACTGCGAGGGTCAGATGTCGAGGCTCGATCGGTTCGAGCTTCGACCTTCGGGGACCGATCGGTTCGAGGCTCGAGGCTTCGACTGCGAGGGTCAAATGTCGAGGCTCGATCGGTTTCGAGCTTCGAACTTCGGGGATCGATCGGTTCGAGGCTCGAGGTTCAGACTGCGAGGGTCAGATTCGAGGCTCGATCGGTTCGAGCTTCGAAATTCGGGGATCGATCGGTTCGAGGCTCGAGGCTTCGACTGCGAGGGTCAGATGTCGAGGCTCGATCGGTTCGAGCTTCGAAATTCGGGGATCGATCGGTTCGAGGCTCGAGGCTTCGACTGCGAGGGTCAGATGTCGAGGCTCGATCGGTTCGAGCTTCGACCTTCGGGGACCGATCGGTTCGAGGCTCGAGGCTTCGACTGCGAGGGTCAAATTTCGAGGCTCGACCGGTTCGAGCTTCGAACTTCGGGGATCGATCGGTTCGAGGCTCGAGGTTCAGACTGCGAGGGTCAGATTTCGAGGCTCGATCGGTTCGAGCTTCGAAATTCGGGGATCGATCGGTCGAGGCTCGAGGCTTCGACTGCGAGGGTCAGATGTCGAGGCTCGATCGGTTCGAGCTTCGAAATTCGGGGATCGATCGGATCGAGGCTCGAGGCTTCGACTGCGAGGGTCAGCGAGGGCTCGATCGGCTTCGATCGGTCGAGGCTCGAGGCTCGACTGCGAGGGTCCGAGGCTCGATCGGTTCGAGCTTCGAACTTCGGGGATCGACGGTTCGAGGCTCGAGGTTCAGACCTGCGAGGGTCAGATTTCGAGGCTCGACCGGTTCGAGCTTCGAAATTCGGGGATCGATCGGTTCGAGGCTCGAGGCTTCGACTGCGAGGGTCAGATGTCGAGGCTCGATCGGTTCGAGCTTCGAAATTCGGGGATCGATCGGCTCGAGGCTCGAGGCTTCGACTGCGAGGGTCAGATGTCGAGGCTCGATCGGTTCGAGCTTCGACCTTCGGGGACCGATCGGTTCGAGGCTCGAGGCTTCGACTGCGAGGGTCAGATTTCGAGGCTCGATCGGTTCGAGCTTCGAACTTCGGGGATCGATCGGTTCGAGGCTCGAGGTTCAGACTGCGAGGGTCAGATTTCGAGGCTCGACCGGTTCGAGCTTCGAAATTCGGGGATCGATCGGTTCGAGGCTCGAGGCTTCGACTGCGAGGGTCAGATGTCGAGGCTCGATCGGTTCGAGCTTCGACCTTCGGGGACCGATCGGTTCGAGGCTCGAGGCTTCGACTGCGAGGGTCAAATGTCGAGGCTCGATCGGTTCGAGCTTCGAACTTCGGGGATCGATCGGTTCGAGGCTCGAGGTTCAGACTGCGAGGGTCAGATTTCGAGGCCCGAGCTTCGTGGATCGATCGATTCGAGGTTCGAGCTTCGCGGGTCGATCGATTCGAGGTTCGAGCTTCGAGGATCGATCTGGTTCGAGGTTTTGGCTTCGAGGTTCGAGGATCGAGGATCGAGCTGGTTCGAGGTTCGATTCGAGCTTCGAGCTGCGAGGTTCGAGTCGCGCGGATCGGTCGGTTCGAGGGGGGCGTTCTGGGCTTTCTGCGAAGCCCCCACCACCTTCCGGAAAGGCCTGGCCCACTCCCGCGTCACCCCTCGGCGCGCCGCCGACTGAGACTCGGGGCGCCTGGAACGCCCGAGGAGAGCAGAGCTCCTCTGGGCGCCTTCTCCGAGTGGCGGGCTCTGGAGACCCTCACCCGATGGAGTCGCATCGTCTCTTTGGGGCCGCGAGTCTTGCTTCGGCCGGCTTCCGCCAAAGAATAGACGTCGCACCTCCTCGATCCACCCCTCGAAGGCGAGGCCATTTTGGACCGACTCAAGTGCTGACCACTGGTCGACACTTAGACAACCGACGTCTTGACAGTTCAATACGGGGCCCTGGAAGTTCCGCCCATTTCCCCTGGGCCCGCTTTCCAACCCAAATCGTTTCGTGACGGTCCAGGGCAAAACGCAGAGATCTCCGCCGCGTCGGCACGGCACGAACCTGCCGGACCTGGGCCCACCACGACCCAGGCCTGTCGTGGGGACAGCGAGCGACCACAACCACATCGAGGACAGCACACCCTGGGGGAGGTCTTGCGCATGACAAGAATCGCCAGAAGACCAAAACCTAGTACTGGTTGTGGTCGATGTAGCGTCCCAGGACGGTCAAATCGACCACAACCAAAGTGCTCATGTCGAGATCGACGGGTTCTCCCCCGAGGGACCCCCCAGCAAACATCCACTTAGCTGGGGGAGCAAACTTTCCACGGTCCGCGCGGAATTCGAAAATCTGCGCCCGACCACCCTCCCAGGTGCGCGTAGGGCGCCAGGAGCGGCGCCGGAGGCGCCGCCAAAAAGGCCCAGGCGATGACCCAAGAAAACCGCGCGGGGCTCCACCAAAAGTGTGTTCCATGTGCCGCTTTTGGTTTCGTAATGGCGACGCCACGTGTGGTACCCTCACGTGCAAATCTTCACATGTGTCTCTCGACAGTTTTCTTAAACGTTTGCATCAATCGCAGAGCTGCTAAAGGACGCTGCTCCGGAGGCAATATCGAATCCGACGCGTCCCAGCAACTCTCTGCGCCAAGCCGTCGGCCTGAGTCCACTTGCAGATCGAACACGCGAACGCTCCTTCTCCCCAATGACTTTGAAGGGGCCCTGTGACACACAAAAAAATACACACAAACAATAGGATCCCCCATATTTCCCCATACTTGTTGGGTTTCTTTGTCTTACCCCCCCCACTTCCCATATATTCCCATATTCTGGGGAATCGACGAAGAATTGTGTCTGTGTGTTTTTTCCCCTCCTGAGAGTTGTGGCTGTGGCTCTCTGCTGCGCCCCGAGGGCACCGCACGTCTGTCCACGAGCACGCCCCCCCCCACCGGCACGGGCAGCGACGACGGGCGCAGCTCGGAGGGCCGGCCGCGACAGCGCCGGCCCTCCCGCTGGGCCCTCACGATGAGACGAAGCCAGGACGAGGACACAATCTTTTGATCTGCAGGGCGAGAGCGAACCTCTGCCGCTGAAGGCCAAGCGGGACGCGCACAGCTCTGATCAGCAGCGCAGGACGAGGGCACCATCGGGCGAGGAGAACTCGGGCATCGCCGAGATCCTCGCGGCTCTGGAGGGTGTCTCGGGCGCCCGGGCCCCCTCGGAGCTCTCGGGAACGCCCCGAGAGCGCCCCGGAGCGCTCATGGAACGGACTTTGCCCTCGCCCCGGCCCCGCCCGGCAAGAGTCCACCGAGTGGGCCCCCCGGACCGCTTCCGAGGCCCACCCTGAGGAGTCGAGCAGAGGACCGACTACAGGACCGATTTGCCCCTAAACTGAGTTCCTCGTCGAATCGATCCCCTGCTCGAATGAGGGGCCACAGTGGCGGAGGAAGACGAGATGGCAGAGACATTCGGGGATGGACAGACCCCCCTTTAGTAAAACGTGGATTCGTGAAAACGACCTGAGGCCCAAACCTGGCGGGCGCAAGCCTGGAAAATGACGGCCGCGGCGCCCTCTCGACAGCCGAAAACGGACAACTCCCTAATCGACGTGTCACTGGTGGGGGTTCTGTCCACCCTCGAGAGATAGGGGGGAGATGGGCTCTGGGGGATGGGGGGTGGCACATCGAGCAGGAGTCGGCGACACATCACCCACAGGGGCACGGCAGCCCCCCCCCCGCCCATGAGCATGCGGATTCGCCATCGAAGGCGTGTCGCCGATCTGTCGGCGATGCATCGCCGACTCCAGCTCGAGGTTTCTCCCCACGGACTCCCGAGGCGGACTCCTCCTCCGCGATCGGCCGCCCCCCAGGAGGCCCAGAGCACACAGAGAGCGGCAGGGAGGGCCGCCGCTGCCCCGGCCCCGGACAGCCGTTCACTGACTGCCTACCAGGCCACCCCGACCCAACCCGAAGACCCGAATTTCGGGTTGGGGGGGTACGGGTTCCATATGTGCGTTTTTTCAATGTTCCCCGACGCCCCCCCCGACTGGAAGTGGAGGGCAAATCGGGGCCTTCGGGTTGGGTTGGGGTGATTCGGTGGGCGGTGATTCACATGGTGTGTTCATCCAGCGGCCCCAACCGCAGCCAGCTCCCCACCGCTTCCCCAGGGGCAGCTCTTCGTCACCTGCGCGTTTCTCACCATCCCTGGGCCCGAAAGCTGCCCCCAGAGAGGCCGAGATCAATGAAAAAGCGCCAGTATCGGAAGAACCTGACAGAGCCACGATCCCCGATCTTACAGCACACGTGGGCATACATGCAACAAGGAAGTGAGGTGGAGATGGGAAGAGCGGGAAGAGCGAGGCAGCAACAGGGAAGAGGAATGGAGAGCACAGGAGGAGAGAAGAACGAAGTGTCGTGTTGGTTCCCACGGTATGTGTTTCCACTTAGCGCAGCATGCGTGATGGAGCCTTGGAGGAACTCTTGGGAGTCTATTGTTGGGCGTCTTGTGGGAGCCTATCGGTGGCGCTTGTGGAGGGCTCCGGAAGCTCTTCGTGTACATTCTGGGGGTCGGAAAAATCATGTCGTCGGAGCCCTGGGACAAGCCCTCCTTCGAGGCAAGGCAGGGCAGGCAGCCCCCACTGGCGCGGCGGGCGAC